TGAGCTTTAGTGGATTATCTGTTCGCGCAAAATTTACTGATTAATTTCAGGCCTTCTTATTCGTGGCTTCGAAATGTTTCCGTTCGAAATCCTGTCAGTCGACAATGTTCCTTATCGTTTGATCAATGGAGCCCGGAGGAGATTGCTGTATCACTGAGTCATATTGATTATAAAGCATTATTTAGGATTCCAGTAAATAATTCCTTACTTTTTCAATAATTTTATTTCATAGTTAATTGAATGAAGTGTAATTTCATAAGCATAAGTTAATATAATTTGCATAAATTTTAGATCAGTGAACTAAAACAGTACTGTATAGATGGCAATCTTTCACGTACGCCCGTCTTAGAGAGATCTATTTCAATTTTCAATGTAGGTCATATGGCTTATTTAAGTTGCTTAAAACCGTATAATTCTATATTGCAAAAAAAAAAAAAAATCTCTGTTAATACCTATTTTTTATCGTCTAAGATAACAAAAAAGCTGTTAGAATTAAAATATGATAAAAATTTCATTATAATCAAGCTTGATAATTTTAAATGTAACATTGCTGAAAAAAAAAAGTTAGGTATCAAAATAATTTCAAACATTTCCACTTATAAAAACTGAGTATCAAAATATTTTCAAATATTCTCACTTAGCAAAAGTTTACCATACATTCCGTATAAACTTTAACATTGTAAAATATTGTATACCGGATTACATATTTGATAGTATCCTGCTTCTTTTTTTTTGTAACTATAAATAAATGAAAAAATTTTGAAGTAATCATTCACATCGTAAACTTATCCTAATTGTTGACATCATAAAAATTTTCCGATTTACAAAAAGAAAAAATTTTTTGAATTTTTTCTATTTACCAAATTTTTCGGAACAATTGCTTAAGAAGTTGCAGTTGTAGAGTTTATCAAACTGGGTACAATGTATGATTTTAAGTAAAGGAACACCCATTGAACGTGCTGAAATGATTACCAAATTTACTCATGTGGCAAAGGTTTGTCATTTCGGTTTATAAAATTAGAAAGTATAAATTTTCGAAACTAATCAAATACTCTCTTTTTGTTTTCTTCTATACCTGTCTATTTACCAATCGATTTTGCTTTATTCCTCAATTCTTTATCCTTTTTTTTTTCTCTCCATCTCATCTTTTTTTCAATCCAGAAAATTCCATGTAAACTTTATAATTTTTCACTTTTATATCAGAAAATTAATTTGCAATTAATCGAAATTGTTTGCAAATGGAAAAGTATAAGCATAAACAGGGGAGGAATTTGCTAAATTGCAAACAATTAATTCATAGTTATGTAAATTATTTCAATAAATCAAAATTTTTCTATGACATATTTTTCAGATACTATGTTGCTTAATATAATAAGAGGGCTAAAAGATTTCAATATTTATTCACCTTTTAAATTCTTCTTAGCTCATTTAATTATGTCTCATTGATTACAGTGCCTCAGACGAATGAATAATTTCAATACATTAATGGCTGTTATTGGTGGTGTAACACATAGTAACATTGCTCGACTATCAAAAACATCATCTGCATTATCAAGTGAATTGAGAAAGGCTTGTTTTGCTACCATTCTGATCTGTGATCTTTTTGCTAATTTATAACAGACTAACGAAATTCAATTATTCAATATTTGTTTATTTATTTGTTATTCATTTATTTGTTATTTATTTATTTGTTATTTATTCATTTGTTATTTATTCATTTGTTTGTTTGCTTATTTATTTATTTAATTAATTGATTAACTAATTAATTTATTTATTTATCTATTTGTTTATTTATTTACTTATTATTATTGAGTAAATTAAATTCGTTAAGTGATATGAAATTAAATTAATTAACTGATAAGAAAAAGCGGTTAATGCACATCTCTCAAAACAACTATCACTCATTTTATTTATTAGTAAAACAAATTTCATCCAGTCCTTTATTAACTTTTGTTTTTTGTTCATCAGCGTTAATTATTTAGTCCGAAATTATCATTCGTTCCAAGAATCATTTTTACATCATAATGATATGTGATATTTTATTATATTAATTGATAAATTCA